TTTTGCTTCTGAACAGAATCACGTAGAAAAATATCAAAGCTACATTTTATATGCAAGGAGAAAGGTGTGTTTAGGATGAATTATTATTTTATTGGGCCAATTTTTTTGTTTTATTTGTCTTGTAGATTGTAGGATGCTATGATCATATCATTATTATTATTATTTTTATCTTGGAAGCAGTTCAGAAAGGAGATATTCTGTAGGAAAACAAACAGTATATCTTTCATATGGAATGTCAGTTAGTCACAGATTATTCCATTTGTAATTAACTATACCGGAAAATTGTGCAAGAAAGATAGGAGGTTGCTCTAACTTTTGGTTAGAAGTGCCTGAGTTATGGAATTTTTGCTATCAGATGTCTTAAAATCATGGAAAAATTTATGTAATTTCAAGGAAGGCATCAATTGCTGTAATCTGAAGTTTTGTAGCATGCCTTTAGTCAGGGAAATTGGCCACAGTAGATTAGGAAAAATTGTTTCATGAAATTGTCGTTGGTTGTTGCATCCTGTAGACACCACTTGCTGGGCTAGATGTTTGCCACTACAGATTTTACTTATTTTAAAGAAATGCTTAAAATTATACTTTCCACCGTTTTTAAATTCCTACTCAATAACTAAAGAATCAATTTGGTCTGGTTGTTGGATGGTCTGTTGCTCTTATCAATGCTCAGTAATTCCAAACAAATGCAGAAATCTTGTGGAGAAAGAGGAGAGATGTAAGTCAGCTTGTGATTTAAGAAAAAATAATGTTAGCCCATCATGAGATTATTGATGTGTTTGGAATGCTGGTATGAGAATGGGGACAAAAGATACTGTAATCAACTCAGATTTTTGTGGTGTCAAAGCTGAAACAGCAGCACTGGTGTAAGGGCCTTGTAAGCTGACATCTTTCTGGAAGTAGTTCCTGCCAAGTGTATCAATATCAGTGGCAAGAAGGATATGAAGAGTAACTTTTAAAGTGGGATTTGGTTGCTCTAATTAGTTTTCCAGCTGGAGTTTCTAAACAGCAATTAACCAAAAATAAGCCAACTGAAAGCTTGTGTACGGAGAGAAAGTAGGAGCACTGGCAAGACTGTTGAGCCTCAACAGAAAGACTTAATAAGAATTTGTAGCATAATACCTAGACTGAAGTAACTTCTTGTGTAGTCATTTTATCACTGGCTTTTTTAGCAGAGCAGGTTTAGATCTTTGTCCTACCTCATACTTTATTATGCTTTTAAGTATTCCTTTCAGTGCTTTCTGGGAAAGACCTCTGTAGACTTGTGTTTGTAAATATGTAGGAGGACACTGGTAGACAAAAACTTCTTTCTTTCCTTCTTCAGACTAGCCAAAACACTTGCATGTTGTGCTTCGGCCCACAGGAGAACTGTGTCAATCTTTGCATTCTTCTAGAATGTTTCCACATTGGGTTTGATTTTTGTTTCAGACTGAGAAAGTTCATCAGCTGCATGGTTGGACAAAAGACAAAATGTAGAACGTGGTCTTTGTGGTGTTCTTGTGCTCCAGAAGTAGGTTGGTCATCTGTCTGCAAAAAGTTTGAAAGCAGTTCTCTTGTAGCAGGCTCTTGTAGGGAGTGCAGCATAATAAGTAAATAGACTGTAACTGTGTGGGTAGGTAAATAATTTAGTGTTAGGACAGAAAGTTGCATATCAGAACAGTATTTCTGTTGAGTATTCAGATAACGGTGTGATAAAATGTAATATGTCTGTGTGTGTGTGTTCAGTAGCTTGGATTTGTTTCCTTGATCTGGTTTGCAGCACAAATCCACAAGCAATGTGGAATTCCTCACTCAAGGAAGCTGTATTCATGGAATGGCCCATAAAGGATGCAGATTTATTAAGAAAGTAGCTTATTTTCTTTCAGAATATGCTTGGACTTGTTCTGAGATGGCTGAAATATCTTTAAGAGGAAGATTGTTTGATTTACAGATTTTCTGTATTATCTCTTACAGTGAGTTAAGGACTTTGTGATTTGTTATGAGGGTTTGTCTGTTCTTCTTGGTGTTTTAAACCCTGAATGTTAGTATTTTTTGTGGAAGCAATCTAAGAATTTTGCCCAGAAGTCAGTGTCAAACATTCCAGTTACAATTTCATGTGCCATACCTGCAAAATAACTAATGCTGTAAATTGATGATGCTTCCTTTGCATTGGAAGCAGTGAAATTTTTGTTGAAAGCAGATCTTTTTGTTTATTTGTTGTGCAATATAAATTCCATGAAATACGTATATCTAATAGTGCATAGTTTGTAGATTTTTCTCATCCTCAGGCAACTTAATCTGACTTGTGAAAATCCTGCCTTTACACACTTTCTTAATTTCTGCATAAATTTTAAGTAAATAGCTTGCTGAAATAGTGGGTTCTGGTTTCTGGCTGAAGATGCTTATTTGAGTCCTGGGTTGAATCAGTTATGAAAGTCTTTTAAAATGTAAGGGGTTGGGAAAATATTTTGTTCTGAAAAAGCCTGCAGCGTATTTTTTGGGTATCAGCTCATTTAAATTAAATATGAAATTGTAAGAATGTATATTAAGTCCTTGAAACTAACTTGGTCTGTTAAAATAATCATAGGTATGTTTGCCAGAGTTTTTAATGAAACAGCAAAATAGCTACAAGATACCCTGTAGAGGCGCCTGCTGCTGGAGGTTGTTATACTGAAACAACTTTTGATTCGGCCTTCTTAACAAATGCAGATATTTATTCTGTCGAATAAACACTATTTTTTTTTTTTTTTTTTTAATTAAATACCTGTCAACTGAAGTTACAGCAGTATTTTACAAGCAAAATATCCTACTTAGAAGTTCAGAACCCAGGTGTTTGCATACTTAAGATACATGTAATAATAAAAATTAATGCTAGTTTTGAGTGTTAATTAAATTCCAGCATCTAACCAAACAGAATATGAGATTACTGGAAATCCAGCTATCATTTAATCCACAAACAGTTACAAAATTAAAGCGGGCCATGCAAATAAGTATGAGTTGGGTTGTATGACTTACAGTGTACCATATTTCTCAACTAAGTAAGCTGCTCTTTACAATAGCTTATATTCTTATTGGAAACAGATTTAATTGGAGGCAAGTGGAAACAATTAGAATCAAAATTCCTTTAAAATGTTTTCTATACTTCTTATTTCTTTTTTTTTTTTTTAAGATTATTTCTCAGTGCTTACTGTAATAGATGTTGCATTTGTACTGTCAATATGTGATTTCTTGATTCAAAAGTATTTTCTGCTGCCAGTGAGGGATGAACACAGTCTTGTTTTAGTCCACACTCTAACGCTTGTTGATGTTTCGTGAGCAGCTAACTTTGCCTGTGAAGTTTTTTCACCACCCTTACCTAGATAGACATTCTGTTGTGAATGACCTTCCTAGACCCCATTTGGAGTACTGTGTCCAGTTCTGGGGCCCCCAACACAGGAAGGACATGGAGCTGTTGGAATGGGTCCAGAGGAGAGCAAGGATGATTAAAGGGCTGGAGTAGCTCCTCTACAAGGACAGGTTGAAGAGCTAGAGCTCTTCAGCCTTGGGAAGAGAAGGCTCCAAGGAGATCTTATAGTGGCTTTCCAGTACCTGAGGGCGGTCCACAGGAAAGCTGGGGAGGGACTCTTTAAAAGGGCAGGTAGCGACTGGATGAGGGGAAATGGATTTAAACTGGAAGAAGGTAGATCTAGCCTAGATATTAAGAAGAAATTCTCTACTGTGAAGGTAGTGAGACGTTGTAACAAGTGCACCAGCGATGCTGTGGATGCTCCCACCCTGAAGATGTTCAAGGCCAGACTGGATGGGGCTTTGAGCAACCTGGTGTAGAGGCAGGTGTCCCTGCCTGGAGCAGGGGGTTGGAACTACATGATCTTAAAGGTCCCTTCCAACCCAGACCATTCTGTGATTCTGTGAACACTGGGGAAGCAGCAGGAACCCATGGCAAACTGCAAGGACAAAAAGGACCGAACAGTTTATTTATGCACAGTTTATAACCGCTTCTCAATGGCAAATAGTTCTGCAGCCCATACCAACCAGTATGGTGGCTTACTGCTGCCCTAAGGATGCTTTCACAGAAACATCTCTCCTTGCCTTTCCCTTACTCTGGATCTGGTTTTCAGCTGATGAACTTACTAACCTGATTCAAACTGCTGAAACTCACTAGTGAAGGATTGAATCATCTCATAAGGAATCTCCTAGGCACCAGAACTGATGCAGCACAAGCTGCATATTTTATGGAGCTAGTGGGAATACTGTGGCAAGGGCAATGGGAGCTTCTCCTTTCAGCGAAGTTGTGTTGTGCTTTCTGGATCTGCTTACTCCGTTTTTTAAAGTAGCTCCCTCAGTCTCAACTTTTTTTCATGTAAATACTCTTACAGAGCTGTGCACTGCAAATTTCGAGAACATTAATTGTCTTAGGAAGTACCTCTCTGGCATTTTGAAGAACTGTGTGAAAAGGTGGTGCTTGACTGGCATACTAGAGTAAACCTAATGGGTAAAATCAGTGCCCAGTTGCCAGTTAATTCTGGCATCTTAGATTCCTCGTCCAAAAATGCCAAATCCATGTTGCTCCAACTCTTTCCTGTTAGTGGTTAGAGCCACAAATTCTCCATATTCCTAAAGAATGTAATATTCATTGCTTTTTTTTTTTTTTTTTTTTTTTTTTTTTGTAAGTATGGGTGATCCATGGTCAAATTCTCCAGCTGATAACTAAGTTTAAAAAAAACTATTACAGGTATATTGAAAATGCAAGTTAGTGTTTTGAGGTCAGCACAACTGCTGATCAGTGTGGCTATGTGTTTATCTGTATCTGGAAGCAAAGTTGAGTACAGACTCAGCCTGCTACCAACTAATTCCTTTTAATAAACGTTTGTTAATCTTTGACAACATGGACTATAGTAAGATAAATGAGAGAATAAGTGTATCGTGTCTGAACTTGCTAACTAGCATAATAGAATGAGCTTTTTTTTTATCAGGCTTTTTCTCTGTAACAGCTTTTGCTGGTAAACTTGTCTTTTATTTTTCAGCATGGACCTGACAATCTGCTTTCTTCCAGTGTCAGTGGAAGGTCTCTTACCGTGAGCAATTCTACTCCAGCTAAAGGTATAAGAAAAAGTATATCTTTATTACAGTTCATTTTTATCACAGTTCTTCTTCAACAATGTATGTATTTTCTCTGCATTTTTATTTATTTATTTAGCTCTTAATTGTCACACTTAGTGTTCTAATCAGTCTTGAACTGTGTAAGGGTGACTCTAACAGTAGAGGCACTGGAGTCTACCCACTGTTGTTCACTTGCAGTGTTGAGGAGCTCTAAAAGTGACTTGTTGGGTTGGACCAAGAAATACCATGTATTGAGGTACCATACCAATGTATTGAGAAAGATGCAGTAACAGTATTCTAGCACAGGAAATTTTAGATCAAGCAATAAGTTAAATGTGGGAGAAGGCTGGGACTATTTCCTTTAGAAATATTTTCTTTTCATGTGGGCTTGAAGTATTCGTGGCCCATGGCTGCAAAAGTTAATTTATATTACTTACAGTTAACTAGCTTGTGACATAGACAATATTCCATCAATGTGTGATTTTGTAGGAGTGCAAGGGACAGAGCAAACAATCTCCTCGTAAGCTTTTAGGATCTGCTGGCTGTGTTTTCAATGGGAAATAAGATTAAGGGAGAGACAAAGGAACTAATCTGAACATTCTTCTTTTCTATTTCTTATTTGCACATGCTGGATTGTTCATAGTTCTATTAATTGATTTAGTATGACATCCAGAGCCTCTTGCTTGTCATGAAACAGCATAAGTCTATAATTCAGTAATTTAATGGCTGAAAGATATTTCAGGCCTGTATAGGTAGTACTTTTTGTAAGAAATTGCTAGCTGGCAAGGAATATAAATTTGTATTTAGTGCATTTGGCTTTTATTAATTATCACTGTAGTCACTGATACTTCATAGTGACTTCCAGAGTTTCTAAATGCTATTGATTTTTAAAATAAGATGGATGGTTTTGGCTCCTAACAAGTCCAGAAAAACCCGAGTTCCCACTGATGGCTCTCTACTTCTTTTAATAATCTTTGTTGAGATGAAGCTTTTTACCAAATACAGCAGCTTCAGCTGCAGAGTTTCCTGTATGTAGTGATCATTTATCTAGAATCTCTTTGCATTTCTCAATTTGAAGTTATTCATCCAGAAAATACATTCATACAGTCATGAATCATGGTTGTAATGAGCTTTTGTTTGTAATACTGGGCCCTAATTTAATTTTGTTTGAAGGTGTCTCTTATGAATATCTATTTTCTGTTTTCACCCAATTGAGTGTGAATTCCAAAGAGGAGATGGTCCTGGGCACGCTTTGAAGAATATTGAATCCATTTTCAAGTTCAGGTGCCAGTAAATCCAAGTATATTATTAAGATCCATATCAGACAATAGCTAGAGAAAAAAGTACAAAGGTTTAAAATATGCTGAGGTCTTTGTGTTGGGGATGAAGGAGGGCTAGCTTTTACTATCAATTTAGCGAGTTAACTCCTATTCTACAAAACTTAGTGTATTTACAGCATTACTGAAAAGATACTTATGAAATTTTTAGGTCAGATGTTAGTCATTAACACATTTATGCTAATGGGTCGATGTATGTTGCACATACTCAGGCTGAAATTGTTCTGTTAAGCACTGTCCTTTTTGGCTGATGCCTGATCAGTGAACTCCTCTAATAGGCAAGATGCAGTGAGATAGTGCTGTGCTTGCCACTTAGTTCCATCTTGTCACCTTCAGAAATGATTCAGAATCCACAAGATGTCACCCTTGCAAGAGATGCTCATCTTAAAGTCAATATCTTTGTTAGGTTTCATTTTCTGCTTTATTTAGTCAAGCAGTGCCCAGCTTAGTAAAGTCAAGGACTTCATCCTGGTTTTTTTGAGCCTTCTAATTACATTTAACAAAATGGCACAGATCATTGGGGTTTAATAGCAATATACCCTGTCCTGGTTTTGTACTGATGCATGTTTAGTATACTTCTTTGTCTTAAAATCTCCTCCCCAGCAAGTTTACCTCTTTTTATGTTTTCTAGAATGCACAGAGAGCATACGATAGCATTTAAAATTTCTTGATGGATAAAGCAAAGTGTAACAAACTCATGTTATACAGGCATTAATTACCTTTCCTTGTGCACAAAATAACCTGGGTGAAACGCTTTGCACTGCAGTCAAAATTTATAAGAAAATCTGAAATAACTTGCTAAACTCATACAGATATGTCATCTTTTGTGCTTCTGTGATATGGCAGATGCAACAGATGAGGTGGTGTCAAGCTTCTCTCTCTCTTGCTGGAGTGAAGCTGTTTGTAGCACATAAATAGGAGGAAAAGAAGAGAAAAGCCAGTGTATAATGTGGTACGCAGTTAGACTTAAATTCAGTTACCAGCATGCTATCTTCCCTTATGTTTTGGGATATTTTTTCGAGTCTCTTATATCTCTGTATCTTCCTCTAGGAGTATCTGTTACTAAAATCTGTAGATTGGTTGGTGAATTTCATTTTTATGACTTTAACTGTTATTACTCCATTGCGATACCCTCTAGAACAATATGCCAATTTTGTGGTGCTCTGCTTAAAAGTGCTCTCAGGGAATCAAGTTGCTTTGGAAAGCAATTGTTGATCTCTTACCAGTTACAGGATTCAAATAGGCAGATCTTAAAATAAATAAATAAATAAATAAATAAAAGCCATTTGCCAAAGTGGATGGCTGTATGGATTTCATGTTTCGCTGCCTTGACTACTTTTCAAACAGAATTCTTTTAAACTCAGTCATATGGGACAGCAGACTTTCTTTAATGTTTTTTTTTTGTTGTTGTTGTTAATTATTTGAGGTAGCAGCTAAGTCTGGCTGAGGAATTAGAATGCAGGAAGATAAGTTAGTAATAAAATAATGAATATTACCTCCCAGTTACTACAACTTGCCCTTTTGTGTAATTAACGCTTTGTAAATATCTTTCATGCATATTTGGAAAGAAGTTACTAGCATCTCCAGTTGCAAGACTTCAAACAAAAACCAACAGAAGACAGGGAAATGAAAGAGAAGGAGAAAGGAAAGGAAAGTGGAAGGACCTCACATTTATTGTGGAGATTTGGAACAGGTGAAGGGAACCTTTTCAAACTCTCAGTGGTTTATATATGAGCTGACCTTTCTTAGAATTCAAAAAGCTATGGAAAACAGTTAATGTCAGTACTGAGACAGCAGTTTCTCCCATTTAGGTTTTGGCATTTATACTGCATAATAAGTTTGTCTTATTTGTTGGTCCATTTCTTTACTGTAACACTTTAGGTGATGGGAATGACAACACGAAATTTAAAGGAGTGAGATTGCCATGCATGCCTTCTCGTGTCCTTCATCTTCGTCAAATTCCAGATAATGCCACTGAAGCAGATGTCATTTCACTAGGGCTCCCTTTTGGCAAAGTAACCAATGTGCTGATTCTAAGAGGAAAAAGTCAGGTAACAATTATAACAGCAAGCCTGCTCATGTCATTCTTTTCTTTAATGCTTTTGGTACTGTGACTGAAATGATTGCAGTGATGTCTAAGTGTTTCATTTATGGCTCAAAACTTTCATTTTTTTCACAGTTGGGAAAATGTCTTGGCATTCATTTCTTTTCATATATTTTCTGATTATATAATAGTCTAGAAACTCATTGACATTAGCTGTAAACATTATACACATCTTATGTAAGAACGTGTGCTGATCAAGAACTACTTTGCTGATATTTATGTTGACAGCTGTCCTGAAATGACCTGCTCAATTAAAATAATTAACATGGAGATTAATTCTTTTATGTGAAATACTTTTTTTTTTTTTTCTTTTCCTTCAAATCCTTTCAGGTGATGGGTGATTTACATCATAAATAAACACTGAAATCCTAAAAACAACAGGCATTCATTCAGAAATTGTATGCAGCATTGGGCTGGGTTAATTTTGTGCAGAAACCAATAGATATTTAGTGTCCTCTTCCTACTTCAGTCACTGTATGCATTTGCAACTGAAACAGTAATGCTTGTATTCAGGATTCTAATAAATCCAGTAGCAATGATTTTTTTATTAGCATGCCTTCCTATATGTCATACTTATTCCAACTCTTCTTTAGTAATATACTGTACTTAAAATGTGTAAGTCTTTTAAGAGATTAAAATCAAATAATCTTGCACAATCTTGCATAAATGAACACCTTTTAATGCAATGCTATACTTTCACATGTTCTTTTTCTGGTGAGAGTTGTAATAGGAATATGTTATGATTTGATGTTTTGTTCTTTCCTGTAAACTAAACCATGTTGAATACCATTATAATTCTATTGCAGGCTTTTTTGGAAATGGCCTCTGAGGAAAATGCTATTAGTATGGTGAACTACTGCTCTTCTGCTATACCTCACATCCACAATCAGCCTGTGTATATTCAGTATTCCAATCACAGAGAACTTAAGACTGACAATATACCTAGTCAAGCTGTAAGTATATTATTTTCATTCAGTAAGATGGAATGATATATGACTTACATTAGTAAATAGAGTATTTTCTATTAATACTACATTAATGATCATATTATAATAGATATTTTTTTTCTGTCAGTTGTAATGGACAGCAAGTTCTTTCAGAAAGAGACTTGGCACCTCTAGAATTACTGTGTAGGAACTCAAGTTCAGGAATGGCCATCCTGATGGCCAGGAAGTCCATTGAAATGGACAGGAAGCCTGTGTGGATGAACAAGCATTTCTTGGCAGAACTCAATAAAAAGGAGGCATAGGAGAGGTGTAAGGATGTCCAGGTTACCCTGGAAGAATATAGAGATGTTATCTTAATATGCAGAGAGTTGTCATAACAGACTGACCATGAAGCAGCAATGTGCCATTGTGGCCAAGAAAGCCAGTGGTATTCTGGTGAGCATTATGAAGAGCATGGCCAGCAGAGTGAGGGAGGAGATCCTCCACTCTGCCCTGATAAGGCCACATCTGTCATATTTCTGTCTTGGCTCCCCAGTTCAAGAAAGACAGGGAACTCCTGGGAAGAGTCTAGCAGGGAGTCACAAAGATGATTGAGGACCTGGAGCATTCCATGTATGAGGAAAGGTCAAAAGACCTGGGGCTGCTCAGCCTTGAGGAAAGACTGAGACAGGATCTTACCAGTGTAACTACAGTAGTAGTAACTACAGGGAGGGAGTTAAGTGGATGGCTCTTTTTGGTGGTGCCCAATGACAGAACAAGAGGTAACATGCATAACCTGAACTCAGGACATTCCATCTGAACAAGAGAAAGAACTTCTTTACTTTGAGGGCAACAGAGCACAGGATCAACCTGCCTGGAGATATTGTGATCTGCTTCTCTGGAGACGGTCATAAGCCATCTGGTAGCTTTCCTGTGCTTTAGGGAACCTGTTTTAGTGAGAGTTATGGACTTGATGGAGTCCTTTCCAAACCCTGTGATTCTGTGATCTTCATTTACATCACAGATGATGACATGGGACACATCCTCAGCATGGATAATGCAGAGCTGAGAAGAGTGTCTGACATCCCAGATGGTTGCACTGCTTCTTGTTGATAAGAAACTAGACATGCTGGAGCAATGTACTCATACAGTCTGATTAAGTTAAACAAAGGAAAATGCTAACTCCTGCACTTGAGAAGTAGACCCAGGTGATAATTTTGTGTTAGGAGCAACTAGTTGGAAAGCAGCTAGCTAGCCTACAGAATGATCTGTGTTTGCTCATGAACCCAACTTTGCCATAAGGCAGCACTGTGTCCTTCCAGCAAAGAAGGCCAACAGCATCCTCAGCTGCAGAAAGCAGACTACTGCCTTCAGACTGACAGACTGATAGAGAGTGACTCTTCTCCTCTATTCAGCACTAGTGAGACACAAATATGGAGTCTAATCCTAGACTCCTCAGTAGAAAGGCATAGACATTAATGGAGCAAGTCCAGCAAAAGGCCATGAAGGTAGTTGAGAAACTAGAGTACCTATCATACAGGTGCAGAGGGAGCTGGGTTTATTCAGCCTGGGGAAAAGAAATCAGGGGTATTTTATCAATGTGTGCAAATACCTGGGGAGGGGTGAGGTGTAGACAGCCTCTTTTCTTGTCACTGGGCATCACTGAAAAGAGTCCATGCTCATAAATTCAAATGCAGAAAAATGCACTGAAATTTAAAAAGCAAGCAAACAAAAAGCTTTTTATTTTGAGCATGGCCAAACATTGGAATGTGTTACTCAGAGATGTTGTAGAGTATCCATCCTTGGAAGCATTTAAAACTTAGCTGGAAACAGTTGTAAGCAATCTAAGCTAGGTGACTTCTTTGAAGCAAGGATCTTGGACTCGATAATCTCTGAAGGTACCTTTCATCCTCAACTGTTTATTTTTTTAATTGTATTTTCAGCTACTCAGAGACTTAGGATGCACCTGTCTCGTTTATGTAAAATGAGACTGAGGCTGTGCTCAATTAGAAAACAAACTAGAAAGGAATCATTCTATTAGGTCTGTCAGCTGACTTGAATATATTTTTCTGAAAAAGCAAATCTATTCATTGTGGTTTTGTATGGTGAACTTTTTCTTCAAGTTCTGCTTAGCTTCTTCAGGAGAATCTAATTTCTCTTTCCTATGAGATGTGATATAGTCAGAGTAGAGTTTATTGCCTGCTGCAGAAAAGTTCCCTACTTCTTCTGGGAATCTCCCAGTTTGTAGTCAGTGCTGAAGAGTCAATTGTTTGTCCCATTCTGCTCCAGAGCTTCAGTTAAATACACTCTTGAATTGTTTGGGAGGAAGTGTTAAGCACTCTTACACATTCCTGCAAGAATACTAAATTCCTGCAAAAAATACAGAAAATGACTGCTATTCAACCACAAATTATAAATGAAACAAAATATGAAGGAAGAAGTGCTTCTGGTTCTCTCTTTGTAGATTCTAAGAACTTCATTATTTTTCTGGGAATTAACAGATAAAATTGGTGAATTCTTCAGAGCTCTCTGTTCCTAACTGGTTGATAAACAGTCAAGACTGCTGCAAAATTATTTTTCTTTCTTCAAGTATATCGGAAGTGTTGATACATGGAAGTTACAGATAATAACTTCTTTCTTGCATGTGCTAATCTTTATTTCTTAAACCCCTTTTTCCTACAGTTGGTGATAAATTCTCAGCAAGTAGCTATATAACCATATTTGTTTTCTAAAGGGCATATTATGTCTTGCGAATGTAGAGATCACTATTTCTAGTATTATTTTCTTATGTAAAACACAGACTGATGGAAAAACAAAATACTTGTCTTGTTGGCACTGAGATAACTATTTGTTTTCTTGCATGTAATGTCAAAAGGAATCATTTTGTGATGTCAAAACAGTTCCATGAAGCTTTTCTAGATAACTTCCTGTTCTTAAAAATAAGATATTGAGTTACTGTTTTGTTAATGATATTTGTCAAATGTAAACTTCTGTCTGGCAGAGCCCTGCATCAGGGATCATGAAGGCTAACATTGCGAAAGAGCTTTTGTCATAAGATGATTGTGCCTTCATTTTGAAAGAACAAGCCTTCTGTATAAGGAAAAGAATGGGAACTTTCCTCTCACTGAGGAGGTTTAGCAAGAGAATCACAGAATGGCCCAGGTTGGGAAGGACCTCAAGGATCATGAATCTCCAACCCCTCTGCCACAGACAGGCCACCAGTCTCCCCATTTAATACCAGACCATGCTGCCCGGGGCCCCATCCAATCTGGCCTTGAACACCTCCAGGGACGGGGCATCCACGGCCTCTCTGGGCAGCTGTTCCAGCACCTCACCGCTCTCTCTGTAAAGAATTTCCCCCTGACATCCAACTTAAAACCATTTCCCCTTGTCCTGCAGTTATCGACCCTTTCCAAGAGTTGATTCCCCTTCTCTTTGTAGGCTCCCTTTAGGTACTGAAAGGCTGCAATGAGGTCACCCTGCAGCCTTCTTGTCTCCAGGCTGAACAAGCCCAGCTCCCTCAGCCTGTCTTCACAGGGGAGGTGCTCCAGTCCCCTGACCATCTTCGTGGCCCTCCTCTGGACCCTGTCCAACAGCTGCCTTGTCCTGGGGGCTCCAGACCTGGACACAGTACTGCAGATGGGGCCTCCCAAGAGCAGAGTAGAGGGGGACAATCACCTCCCTGTCCCTGCTGGCCATCCCTCTTCTGATGAAGCCCAGGATACCATTTGCTTTCTGAGCTGCAAGGGCACCATTGCTGGCTCATGTTAAGCTTTTCATCCATCAGGACTTCCAGGTCCTTTTCTGAGATGGGCAAGTGTCTAATTATAGATTCAGTTTCCAATGACTGAGAATACGCTCTGTTGCCCTTTTAAGTGGATCTTAATGCAAGAGAAAGACTTAGCTTCATTTACCTGAAACTACTGTAATTTCTACTAATAATAGTCATATAATGTCAGGGTTTTGATCTCTCTACATGGCCATGCTTCATTGATGAACATATTATATTGTTAGTTGTGCCCTTTGTGTAAGCTGGCATTCGTAATATCCCTCAATGCCTAGTACTATATGAAAGCAAGCTCTTAAATGATGAATTCATCAATTGGGATGGAAAGTATATAACTTTTTGAGAAGTCTCTATGTTTAATGTTTCATTTGTATTTCATAGTGCTGGTATTGTTGTTACATTCAGTATTGAACAGCTGGGGAAGAAGTGACTAAGGGATATTCTCAGAGGCAGCTACTCTAAAGAGTAACTGCTCTCTAATTGGACTTCTGGACTAGGTTTCTAGTAGAAATGTGACATTAATGATACTTTTATTTTAATGAGCATTTGTTGTTAATTAGCAATATTAAAAACTGAAGGAGCTTGAGATATCCTTGAAGTAGCAATTCTGTGAGTAATTGAACTCACCTAGCAGCATTTTACTGTCAAAATGAGCTAGTCTTGGATGTTGTTTCTCCTGCTTCCAGCTGTATGTTCTACTCTCTGCTTTATAGCTCTGGTGCTTCCTGGATTCTTCTGAATGATTCAGCTTGTAACTTGGCAGTTAAAAACTGAACAGTTTTCTGGGGTAATATGCTGAATACTTCAGGATTCAGAGGAAAAATGTAGTAGGATTGTCTCAGTAGCAGTGATCTCTATGGTCAGCGTATTACACCTTAAGTAACTGCATTTGGAAGCTCAGTTTACTAGAACTTGTCATCAACTTCATTATTGTTAAAGTCACCATGATACTGTGACTTCAAGTGCACATTTTTATGCCTGCAATGTGTAAACCTTGAATGTCTCTCAGGTGTGCACCAAGCTGTGCTCACTCCATCCACAGCAGAACACGACAGAAGGAAATATGATGATGAAACTCATGGGCTGTGATAATGACAGGGATACTGCTCACCTCCTGCCGATGTAGATTAAGCGGATTTGATTTGAGGAAGATGAACTTAATTTTCTGCCCTTTAAAAGTAGAGTAGGATAGTAAGAAGAAAAAGAACAAAAAACAAACACTAGAAAACCAAAACCCAACGCAACCGTATCTACCCGAAAACCATGGCAACCTGAAGGCCTTGCCTTTCACTTCTGCTCCCTTCACTGCTGTTACCTCTTCCCCTTCCCATTCAGTACAGGAGAAAGGGAACGGAAGCTGTGGTCTATTTGTATTGCTTTTTCTCTGCTCCTTCCTGCTCCAGCCTGACATGTTTGCTCTCTTTAATCTGGCTAAGAGGAGTGAGGGCGAGAGATGCATGAAGAAGAAATCTTGCTGTGTACTTCTGAACAATGGTAAAAGCAAACTGATTCCGTGGTTTGGAAGTCCAAAAGGTTGCTACTTTTCCTGTCTTTGGAAGAAGTCATGTCAACTTGCCGGGATTACTTTGATTTTTTATATGTTGTGAACTCTATCTTCTAACGATTTTGTTTCTGGAGTGTTATTACTGCTTTGATTATTTTTTTTCTTTCTTTTTTTTTTTATTTTCTTTTTTGAAGCCTCTCAGTTGTATTAGCTTGAGATACTGACACTTTTTTTTTCTGTGGTCTTTATGTTCTGCATAACTTAAAAATACTTCATATAGTATGTTTGGAAAGAACTTTTTCATTCCTAAGTTCTATTATTAGAAGATAGATCTCAGTAACTTCAGGGCATGAAGAAAATAACCACGTTTTGTCCAGTAAACCCTTCTCACTGACTCTTTCCTTTCTTCCTGTCAGTGTGTCACTAATGTAGTAGCAGGCCTCCCACAAAACCATAGCGCTTCATTTTTACATTGTGTTTTGTTAAAAATAAGTGTATCTTAAATAAGTTCTGGAATGTGGTTGGTTGGGTAACAGTTCTTATTTTCTGTACTAATACCGCATATAGGGATTACGGCAACAATCAGGGCTCATCTTTAACTTGTGCTAACATGAAAGGTTCTGGAATCTTGCTAACTTTTCACTCTGATAAGTGTCATTTGTCTCATTGCTGGATTGATTTGTTATCTGCAAAAACAAATAAATAAGGCAACAAGATTCAAGGGTGTGGTGAAGGTAGCAGCCTCAAAAAAGTGACGTTTGCAAATAAGACTACTTCTTATCGTTTTCAGTTCAGTGCATGAGGGAATACTTTCTTTCTCCTTCTACAAAAACAGTATTCCCTACTTTTTGAATATAAATGTATATATTCAATTATGACCCTTTCATTTGAGTTTTTTATTTAAATTTTAGAGATCTTAGCTTAGCAAATGAGCATTAAATTACTGATGTCTTAGTATCTAGGCTCAGCTCTGAGGGACAGTTTATTCTGGAAGCTTAGAAGAAATCGAGTAACATCCACACCTTGTGTCATGTTTAGTCAGGCTTCCAAGAGAAGGGTGTTACTGAGGTATGGCTTCGAGTCACAACACTGTGTTTGGAAAGGAATGTCTCTCTGCAAGGCTATTAGAAGCAATCCAAATGTCTTTTTGAGAAAGGTCCAGTCAAAAAGACTTCTCAAATTCCAGTGAGGTGGTTTGAGAAATGAGTTAAAAATGCTTTATTTTGTGGCTGATAGTTTGGCTCTGGGAAGAAAGAGAACAGAATGTGCACCTTCTAAGGTTGTGTTTGCCAAAACTCAGTTCCTGGAGAAAATCAAATCCTAATAAAGCAAACCAAGCAGTTTGTGCTTTACTGACTGGTTGAAAATCCATTAAAATGTTGTATTTCCATAGATATTTAAAAAGAGGGAATATGGCTTTTAAATGCTGCACATTAAGTGCATTTTACATCTTTGCTTTGTAAGAGATCTTTGTTTAGACATAAATAGTTTGCAAGTGTGTAAGTTAATTGTGGTCTCTGCTGTGTTGTGATTTCAGAATGCTCAAGCTGCACTGCAAGCTGTGAATACTGTGCAGTATGGAAACGTGGCTATTACAAGTGCTTTTGCTCCTGAAGGTGGGGTCTCTCCAAGTCACAGTTCTGTTCTTCGAATCATTGTTGAAAATCTTTTCTACCCTGTCACTTTAGATGTGCTGTATCAGGTAATAAAAATTGGTAAAAAAAAAAAAAAAATAGTAAAATCTGTTTCTATGTTGCCACTATAAATGGGATTGTTGTTTTTTTTTTTAAGTACCTATGGGCCATCAGTCATGCATGACTCAGCTTGAATAAGGACTGTCATTCCAACGTGATTTGTTGTAATTTAGAGATCTAGGCTTGAATTAGTTTTACTCAAAAAAACAAAACAAAACAAAGCAAAAAAAAAAAACAAAACAAAAACAAAAACAAAGAAACACACAAAAAAAATAAGAACAGAAAACAAAAAAAAAAACCCTAAAAATTGGATTAAACAGGACTTTTCTAGTTGGCTTTTCGTGACTTTTTTTTCCTCCTGCTTTGGTTGGTTGGTTTTGTTTGTTTCTTCTCTGGTTTGTAGTTCTTTAACTTAGTTAAAATTGTAGCAAGAGTTCTGTGGAAGGAATAATGAACTCAATTTGCTACTTTGAATTTTGTGCCTAGGAACTAGTGAATTCTTGCCTTATTTTACTACTCCTTGTGCTCAGTAACTTTTTAAAGTTTGTGTTATATTTTAGCATTTTAAAATCAGTCTTACAAGTTGGTACAAGGGATGTTACATGCAAGTATAGTTGGTTGGGCAAATATTTTAAATTACTGTAGGCTCTTAGAATGTCGCTTGCTTTGCTTGCTCAGAACTACAGTAATAGACTATAGCTATGAAAGACATTACTGTAATTCCTGCTTGTAATTATTGAGAATTTGTCAATATTTTTCTTTCAGGTATTGCAAAGAATTTCATACTTGAAGCTTTTATAAATACCAGTAAATCTTTGCAACACATGCCCCCAATATGATTTTCCTGAGTTAATGTGATTTAAAATGATTAGCGATTTTTTACAAGGAGCTGCAGTCTGGACAAAACTGTTTTTGCTGCTCTACTTAGCATCTCAAATGCTTATTATCAACACTTGCTATTTCCTCTTGCTTCCTTACGTTAATTTTTTCTCTTTATCCCTCCAACAAGAATGGATTAATTTGTGTGCTGCTAGCTGTCACTTAGAAGTCAAAATTTTTGTGATTTAAACTTTGTTTATACCTTCAGATGTAATTTAATCAATAATAAATCATGCAGCTTGTATGTCAACTGCTTAAAACAATTAGTGTACACAGAATAGTCTATTAGCTAACTATCAGTGCATAGCAACAGCAACTCCTGGATCTAACCTTGTGTGCTCTTGCTTTTTGTTATTGCTCTTGGGTTTTTTTTGTTTGATATTGACAAAGCAGACAGTGGAAGAAGGGATTCATATTATATTACTTTAATCTGACTAGTGTTTACTTCTGTGCAGTGAAATTGTATTTCTCAGTGTTTGAGTTGTCCAATAACCCTCAGTTAACTATTTTTGCAATAGGTCTAGAAAATCAGATAACGCTTGAAAAGGGAGCTTAATTGGAGTTCATAATAAGGGACAGTATCCTCTAATTAAAGCAGCACTTTGTGCATGATAGAGAGCTACAGTGCTGCAGAGAAACCTAACTTTGTAAGTGTGGAAAGCTAATAGAAATGAGAGAATTTTACCGACAAGTATAGTACCATATACTTATAGGCAGGCTGTCATACAAAACTTCTGTTTACATATAGTATTTATTTATTTGTTTGTTTATTCGCAATCTGCCTTAAAGTATCTATTGTAAGAAACAGAATAGCTGGTGTTATATTTGTAGAAACAAAGCTGTGAGGTTTAGCTTTAGAAACAAACAGGTATATCTTAAAAATGTCTATTTGTTTTTGTGGAAATGTGCATGGAAGCGCACATTTAGAAACTGCACTTAGACCTTTCTTAAGGGGAAGTGTTTTGTGAACAGGAAGTAGATAGCTAGCTTTAAATTGCTTTGAAAAAAAGTTTCTGTTTTGTCTTCTACCAGGAAATGGTGACTGTAGCATAAAATCCTGAAAAACTGGGCATGAAGTTTTAGAGCAGTGACTCTATGACTCTAAGGCTATTAGGCTGGAAAGAGATGCTTGTCCTTATCTCTTGTATATCTTTCCCTTCTAGGATTAATATTTTCCTAGGGATTCTGATTGCTGTGGTGCATTTCTTTGCTTTAGAACTTTGTTCTAGAACTACTGGTGCTTTCAAAACTCACTTTTCTTCTTTCATTGTTACTTCTGCAATCATTTCTTTGCACTTGTGTGTTGTGTCTTAACCTCGCTATATTTTTGTCCACATTCTCCATGTGTGCCCCAGAAGCTGTCATTATGTCACATGAGTGTTTCGTGTATTACATGCTCTCATTCTGAATGTACTCTGTATATATATGTGTGTGTCTGTGTATATATATACATACAAAATTTCAGCCTTTAAAAACTTTTCTACAGTGCCTACATTTGCAGTAAATCAAACACCACTCAATTATAAATTGATACATCTATAAATTGATAAAAGGATGGGTCTCAAGCAAATGCTTGTCTTGCCTCTTTCCTTGTTTTCCACTTAAGACAGTGGATCTATGTTGTTAATGTGTCTACAAACTACTTATTGGAGAGAGATGTTTGATCATAAGTTTGCAGAAATTGCTTGAAATACAGGCTGTAAGGTTGCCTATCTTGACAGTTCACAGTCCCTATCTAACTGACTTGTGAAAGTCCATTTCTCATAACTCAGCTTTGACATGGGACATAAGCCTCCCTAGGCTTTTTTAGTCATTATTATTAGTTGTTAGAATTAGTTCATTGCTAATCCTTCAGAGGAATTTTATCCTTCTTCCCCATCTTTTATATATTCTTTTTTCTTTTTTTTTTTTAACCTGAAACAAATTCTGATAGCAATTCATTTCTATTCAGCTCTTACTAAAGGTATGTCTCAGAAAATTTATATTAAGTATCAAAATGCTGTTTTTGTTTTAAATCACAGAATGATTTTTTTTTTTTTTTTTTTTTTTTTAATTTAAAGTCTGTATTTCTTCTCAGATTTTCTCTAGGTTTGGATTTGTCTTGAAGATTGTCACCTTTACAAGGAATAATCAGTTTCAAGCTTTGATCCAGTATGCTGAACCAGTGAATGCATATTATGCCAAAATGGTAAGTGCAGTGTACTCACCGTGTTTTCCTCAGGTAAGATGGCCACTATGCTAACATTACTGATAGCTTGCCCATTAACTTTGACTTTTTTTCATTCTAACTCTCTTGTTGCACTAGAATAACTTTGACAACCCTCATTAGAATGGTACTCTACCATCAAATGTAAGAAAGTGTATAGCACACAGACAGCAATCAGTATGGTTCTACCAAATCAAAGTTTAGGGCTGTTGGTAGGGAAGACTAGTAGCTGTGGTTGTGACAAAAAGTCTTTTCTGTGTCAAACTAAACTGTTTCTGGTGAGGATTAATCTGAAGACTGGGTTAACCCTGAATGGTTGCCAGGTGCCCACCAAGCTTCTCTCTGTTTCACTCCTCAGCAAGACAGGAAGACAATAAGATGAAAAGCTTGTGAGTTAAGAATATCATTTGCCAGTTACCATCATGGGCAAAATAGATTCAACTTGAGGAAGATAAATTTATTTCACATTGATACGGATAGTGAGAACTAAAAGCAAAACTAGAAACACCTTCCTCTCACACCTCTTCTTTTCAGGTTCTGTTTCACTCCTGTCTCTTCTACTACTTCCTCCTTCTGTAAGCAGTACAAGTGTGTGCAAAATGGGATCTGTGGTCAGTCCATAGCACTTGGTCTCTACTCTCCTTCCTCTCCATACTTTTCCCCTGGCTCCAGTGTGGGGTCTCTCCTGTGGAATATGGTCCTTCATAAAGGCTGCATGTGAGCTGTAGCCCCTTCCCACAGGTTGCAGTTCTTCAAGAACTGCTCCAGGATGGCATGTAGTCATTCAGGAACAGACTGGTTTCCCCATGGGCTGCATGCAGCTCTTGCTCCACTCTGGGGTCCTCTCCATAGGCTACAGCTCCAGCCCAGGCCTGCTCCTGCAGGGGCATGAGTCGTACCATAGGCTGTACCTCTCCAGGCCGCATCCACGGCTGCACCAAGGGCTTCCCCACGGTGCCCTGCAGACTGCTCTGCCGTGGGCCTCTCCTGAGCTGCAGGGAGCTGCTGCTCCGCGCGTGGAGCACGTTATGCCCTCCTCCTGCACTGACCTCGATTCTCTCATGTTTACTATTCCTCCCTCTGGCAGCAGATGTGCAGTTTTGTTTTTTTTACTCTTTCTTAAAAATGTTATCACAAAGGCACCACCAGTGCATTCTGCTTTCGAGCTGTCTGGAATGGGCCTAGTCCAGAAGGGTTGCCTTTATACTCAGCTTTGAGATGAAAGGCACAGAATATTTATCTATTGGTACTTGCCCTTTTTTCTCTTTTTTGATACAGATAAAAATAAACTTAGGAGGGAGGTTTGCAACAAAGTGTGTTGTACCTGAAAATTTAACCATTTGTTTCCAGGCTCTGGATGGCCGAAATATCTACAATGCATGCTGCACTCTACATATTGATTTCTCAAAGTTAACAAGCCTTAAGGTGAAGTACAACAATGAGAAAAGCAGAGATTTCACTCGCTTTGACCTTCCAGCTTCTGACATCCAACTACCCCTGGATCCAGCCATAATTGCTGCCTTTGGTAAGAAGGCCTTATTTTGTGATAAATACGCAGTATGATCATTATGCTTTTTACACTGCATACTCTTAGGAGTTTTATTCTCTGGCTGTATAATAGATTCTGTTGAAAACAAACAAACAAAAGGACATTTTATGTATAACTCTAATTGTTAGACTCAGTAAAATTTGTGTGGAAAGCAGAAAATCCTATTCTAGATAAACGAGTATCTGAAACCGTGCTCAGATAAATGGTTATCAGAATATATTCAGGTGGGAAAATTATAAGCGTTGTCAAAAAGCTGTGTTTTTAGAGTGGTGTGGAATTATATCATTGGTGTAAGGCAATATAATAGACATTGCATATCAGAAAAGTCAATGGCAGCCATCCAAAATTGACCGATTCCCTAAACCTACTTGAAAGTAAATGTTTTAAAGTTTGCTGGTATTTTAGGATGACTGCTTGCTTTAAGGAATAAACTATAAGAAATACACAAATTCTACAATTACATTTTATAGTTGCCTTCTGAAAGAAAATTTTAGTGAATTCCTTTAGTAAATTTTGAAAGTCACTTCCACTGCATAGAGAAAGAATTACCTACTTGAAGTGACTTTGAGAAGCCCTTTTGGCATAAACAGCACATGCATGCTTGTTTGTTCAACTTTCATAATAAGTGCAAATCATCAAACAGATTAATTGCTGCCACATGTGTGTTCAAATACCACTTGGCTGAATGATGCGATGAAAAGACATTGGGAGTCATGTCAGTACTTATGCTTCCTGTTTCAATACTGGTACAGGCAGGTTTGATGGAGAACTATCTGAGCCATTCTATAATTCTATGATAAAGCAGGTATCAGAATAATGCATCCAATTTTACTGTAGACTTGAAGGTATCCTAATAGTAAAACTAAAATTTTTGAGATACTGCACTGTAAAAAATAATAAAAAAAAAAAGAATTAAAAAATCTCATTTTTATGAATGTATTGAATTTTAAAATCTTCCTCATCCATTCAGCGTGGGCAGAAATACATGAATGAGTATGCTTTGAGAGCTACCTGCCAGCTGTAAAGCAAATGATTTTACAAATAAAACATGCATCAAAGAGTTCCAGATCTTTCTGCATTAGTTCTGTTTGACAACTTTTACTCGTATGATTTTGGTATCAATGTGCAACATGCAGATCTCGTTTGGCAGAATGAAAGCTCTTTATCTCTTCATTAACATTTCCATTATCGTTCTTGGATTGTGAATAAGTGATTCGTATCTTTATTCATATCCTTATTGCCAGAACTTGTCAGCATAATGCACACGCTGGTGCATTATGAAGAACACAATGACTTGCTTTGGTCTGATGAATGTATTCCATTGTTTGTATTAAAGGTGCTTTGACACTACAGATAAGAGGAGGTGTGACATTATGCAATATTTATGAGTACTTGATCTACGGTGTCTCTTTCATTTATTGTTATTGTGATTCATAACTGGTACTTCATAAGGAGCTGTATTATTTGTATCGACCATTTGTTAGTGAGCATAGCTTACTTTTAGTCAGTGGTGAAAGTTTGAGTACTAAGACACTGCAGATTGGTGGGTTTCATGTACTGATTATGTGTGTCCTGATTTATTAAAATAAAAAGCCAACAGTCTAGAGTGCTAACATATGAAAGAATCCAGAAATCAATCTTGCATCTAACACAACCTTACTTGTTACCCAAGATAGTGCTTATCTTCACATAGTAGCATGAAAGCCAGTGAGCCACCTTTGGAGCAAGATCTTTCTACACTGGTATTCCAAATCTGTTTAATGCTTGTAAATGCAGTTGCTGGTTTTTTTTTTTTTTTTCATGTATTTGTACTGGAAAGGTGCTTCTGCTTGAGAAGAAAAATATACTTTAGTAGCTACTAGAATTCAGAAACTCAGACTGGTTTTGGTTGTTTAATTATTTAGCCCATACTTTCTCATAAATATCTAGGAAATAGTGATATCTCATCATTGTAAAACATGGCATGATTTGCTTCCAGAAAATTTCTAGAATGCATTTCAGTTTTATAAACAAAAAATATACTGAGCACCACAGATGTCTAAACTTCAATGAATACTAATTTATGCTGGGCTTTCATTGTCAAATTTGTCTAAATTGCATTTTAGAGAGGGACACTGAGAGACATGTAATGTTAGACTTAAGAAGTGACTAAAAAATGTAAACACAGAAATGTGGATTTCAATTAGAAGGGTTTTTTTTTTTTTTTTTTAATTTTTATTCAAACATTTATAGAAGATGTAATCACAGATGAAAGTGAGAATAGTAGCTCTGGCAGCTTTCTCATTCCTGAAGTCTCTTCTGTTTTCCAGGAATGCTTAAGTCTCTGTTTTAATTAAATGTCTTCTATTACCAGGGTCCGAAGGTATCATCTTCCAACCACACGTAGGGACTACTGGATTTGGCCCGTTTGCATACATTCCTCAAGGCGCTGGTAATGTTCTGTCTTCAATTAAAACAAAAAAAAAAAGCAAGCAAAAACCCAACCATGCATGCACCAAACAAATAGACAAAAAGCCTAAAGCCATTAGTGCTTGCATTTGCATTTGGGGCTAGCAGTCTATCAGAATACACCTGGCTTCTCAGTAAAATTTCTTGCCATAATAAAAAATGTATGTTGATATAATTTTTAATTTAATAAATAAAGAAATGTAATGCTTTAAAAAGATTACCTACAAGAGAAGAAATTCTAAGTATCTATTTTTCTAAGAATTGAAAGTCTTCTTGGACATTTAAAGGTAAAAGAGGAAGTCTCCTCTTTTCTAAATATAAAAAGAGAAATAAGTAGTCTCCTAAACATGGCAATCTCTTCCTTCCTAGCACAGGATAAACTCTGAGCTGCAATTTGTATCCCCTTCTCAGTGGATCTATTGCCGTGTCTCAATATTTCTTTATCATTAGAGGGGAAGTGCATTTTGCTTTATTAATCAGATACTTGGAATACCTTAACTTCCAAACACTGTTTTTATTGAAAATCAAATTTTTTGAGGAGCCTAGTCTGCTTTTGTCTTCTAAAATGTCTCAAGTGATGCTGTAAGTACAATTTCAAATCTTTCAATTTCACCTCTACCTGGAAAACTTTCTTTTCTTGCAGTCACCACATCTGTGGCATCTGTACGGATGAGTAACCCAGGTGTTCCAGGAAATTCTGTTTTACTGGTCAGCAACCTCAACCCTGAGGTAGGTTTGATCTGTAGTACTGATGCAAGTCACTACTTGTACCAGCTGCCAGAATCCTTATTGCAAGTTAGCTTTAGTTGAAGCAACAAATGAGCAAAGTTCTATGCTGATAATACCAAAATCTGAGCATTACTTATGGAGCAGATCATCTTGAGGAAGCTCACGTGGTGTGTGCAGAACAACCTGGAGATCAGGCCCAGCCAGCAAGGGTTCACCTAAGGGTTCTGCTTGACCAACCTGATCTCCTGTGATGAAGTGACCCACCTGGTGGATGAGGGAAAGGCTGTTGACATAGTCTGTGTAGATTTCAGGAAAGCCTTTGACAGTGTCTCCTACAGAATTCTTCTGGGGAAGCTGGCAGCCCATGGGTTGCACAGGTACAGTCTTTGCTGGGTAAAAAACTGGCTGGAGGGCTGGGCCCAGAGAGTGGTGGTGAATGGAATTAAATCCAGCTGGTGACTTGTCACAAGCAGTGCTCTCCAAAGGTTGGTACTGGGGCCTGTCCTCTTAAATATTATTGCTGATGACCTGGATGAGGATATTGAGTGCACACTCAATAAATTTGCAGATGACACCAGGTTGACAGGAAGTGTCAATCTGCCTGGGGGTGGGAAGGCCCTACATAGAGATCTGGGCATGCTGGCCAGTAGGATGAAGGTCAGCAAGACCAAGTGCTGAGTCTTGTTCTTTGGCCACAACAAATCCAGGCAATGCTACATGCTTGAAGCAGAGTAGCTGGAAGGTTGTATAGAAGAAATGGACCTGGGGGTATTGGTTGATGTTTGGCTGAACATGAGCCAGCAGTGTGCCTGGGTGGCCAAGAAGGCCAATGGCATCCTGGCTTGTAGCAGAAATAGTGTTGCCAGCAGGAACATGGAACTGATCATTCCTTCTGTACTCAGTATTTGCGATGCCACATTGAATGTTGTTCAGTTTTGAACCTTTCACTGCAAGAAAGACATTGAGGCCCTGGAGCATGTCCAGAGAAGGGAAACAAAGCTGTGAGGGGTCTGGAGCACAGGCTTTATGAGGGAGCAGCTGGGGGAACTGGGATTGTTCAGTCTGCAGAAGAGAAGGCTCAGGGGAGACCATGTCACTTTCTACAAATACCTGAAGGGGGCTGTGGCAAGGTGGGAGGCCAGCCTCTTCTCCCATGTAACTAGTGATAAGAATAGAGGGAATGGCCTCAAGTTGCACCAAGGGAGATGGTTGGATGTTACAGAAAAATTCTTCTCCGAAAAAGTGGTCAGGTGCTGGAATGGGCTGCCCAGAGAGGTGGTGGAGTCACTGACCCAGGTGGTGTCCAAGAAACACTCAGATGTGATACTGAGGGACATTGTTTACTGGGGAAATATTGGTGATAGGTGAAGGGTTGAACTGGGTGATCTTAGAAGTCTTTACCAACCTTGGTGATTCCATGATTCTATGATCTGTTTTCGTTTGAGCAAATTTCCATTACTGATAAAGCTTAAAAATTCTGTTCAGCAGTGGAAAGGTTCTAAGCACAATTTAGTGCAGGAAAAAAATAGTTTAGTAATGTAATGGTGAGTTTGTAATTAGTGATCTGTCTGAGGTTATACATGCAAAATGTTTGAGGTAGTACACAGCACAGAGCTAAACTCATTGATACCTCGGTGATATTACAGTTCTTAAAGTGCCATTTTATCATTGGGAAATCTAAAGAATTTTTCATACATGAGAAGTCAGAGAAACTAGAGGGAAGAGGAATAAAGATGGAAACATGGGAAGTTACTTTTTTTCGAAACATTGATGAAACGTTCCTTGTCTTTCACCCCAGAGCAAAGGAGCTGAGGGAAGGCCTTATGCAGCTGCAACTCCTCACAGGAGCTGCGTCAGAGGAGGTCAGGGGGGCAGGGTAAGGCTGTGCCCCAGAGGATGGAGGGCATGGCACGGCTCCCCAGGGCAGGAACACAGCCCTGGGCTGCTGGAGCTTAGGGAGCATTTGGGTACTGCTCTCACGCACAGAGTTTGGGTTTGTGTGGTGCTGTGTGAAGCCTGGGTTTGGAAGGGACCCCCAGGGACCACTGGGTTCAACTCTATGACTCCAGTTTGGCAAGCTTTCTCAGACTGAAGAGGAGGAGCATGGGTGTCCCTTGGTATAACATATCTATAAATCCGTTTTCTAACGTCAGTAAATATGCCTATTCACTTTTCATAGTACCACAGAATTGTTTTTTCTCCTATGTGTTTGCAGTAAAACTGCCAAGGGAGTTACTTTTACAGTGGTTTGTTTCATAGCCTTGCACTTGTTACTCAAACTTTATGCATTAATGTATACTTAACTAGAAGTAATCTACATCTCTTAATTAGTAAGTAAGCTTTAGAAAGGCCATAACATAATACAGTGTTTTACTTAACTGCTGATAAGCAATTCTACTACAGTGATTTTAAACTCTTGTTTGTTTTGTGCTCTCACTGGATTCACTTAACCATAAAACTTATGAAATTAAGAGGTATTGTCAAAATGGAAGTCATTCATATTTCAAAAGTTTAGAGGTCTGTTGACCAATTCCTTTAATCTGTAAGTAATTGCTGTGTTTTATACTTTTTTTTTTTTTCTTAGTAACAATTAAATTTCACATTAAGCATTAAAAGAAAGCTATAGATTCGGACTGTAAGACAAAGCAATTACACTGTTTTGTCAGTGTATCTTATCAAGTAATTACAGATTTCTGATGAGCTTTGTACAAATAATTATTTAAGATGGTTCTCTGAGCCTCGAGAGACTGCTTTTTCAGAGTAAGGATATGTGAAGCATAGATCAGATCTATGTTTAGGACTTTGCTGCTTTACTTAATTCTAATTATATCTAAGAAGTTACCATTTAGAACTTTATACTGCAATGCATAATGCAACATAAATTGTTAGTGCTCACTACGGGCAAAACTGTTGTCTCAGCTGAATAAAGTTTGTGTTGATTAGAGTGCAAATTCTCTTTAGTGACTGGGGAACTTGGTACATTAGGATTTAATGAAAAATTTCTGAAGAAAAATTACTTATTTCAGGCTTTCTTTTCAAAGCTTTTAATCAGACAATTTAATTATCACTCCATATGTGCTTCATGTATTAACAATTAAATAGTGTGCATATTAGTAACGTGTGGTCACGGGGACAAAATTGAAACAAAGCAAATGCATGTTGCTGCAACAAGTTTTAGTTTTTTAGGTGGTATCTGCAGTTTAGAAAAGACAAATGACTTACTGAATGATCTTTTCTACTTTTAGCGTAGCAAATTGCTTTGATTTGTCAGGGTATGAAATGCTGTCTTAGAAAGCTTGGAAAGAATAATTTCAAGTAATTAAGCCACTTAACATATTAATAATTTCTCCATCTTGACAGTCTCTGAGTTTTGAGTGATGAAAATGCATGAGCTGAAGTGTTAGCCTGTTTATGTATTTGATATGTGCATAATAAATATGCATTAACAGGAATGAATACACTCTAGTTACTGATGCAAATGGCTTTTGGTGAAATGGTTTAATGCTGTTAGTGTTTAGAATCTCTCCCATTGTTTTAGTTTACCATGTGCTTAAGGTCTAGGTTTCTTTATTTGCCTGGCTTTAAAAATAATACACTCATTTTATCATTTAAACAGGCCATCACACCGCATGGACTTTTCATCCTATTTGGTAAGATACGTCAAATGTACCTTTAGAAACTATAGGGCTAGAGCTCTTTTTACTTAAGTGGCAAATGGTGATTAATTACACTTCAGTTTTTCTGTTTTTGTCCAGAAAATGCACAAGAGAATGTGCTGGTTTTAAATGATGGTCTTTTGAGTCAGTGTCTGTAAGACACAGGTACCAAAAAGACAGAATTGTTGCAGTTTCAGAAGAATTTCACTGTGTGTTCTGATTTCTTCACTACAAAGAATGGCAAAGCAAAGTAAGATGGAAAAGCAAAGGTTGTCTTGGAGGAAACAGGCTACAGAAATGGCATATTTGTTATTTGCAGGGAAGAATGTTGACATGGTAATGTTTTAATACCCCTCTGTTGAGAGGACTTTCAACACTTGCACTACTTAACAGCTGAACATAAACATGCAATTTTATTACTGAGATCCTACTTGATGTGTGTTTTTTTCCTATTTCTGAGCCTCAAAGAATAATATACAAGCTTGAAATATCTCCTTATTAATGTTCTAAGCAAGCTGTTTAATGAGATGATTATTCTTTGTTAAGCTAATTTTAGTGAAAAACAACAGACTTGCACGTGTGCTTTTTGTAGTAATACAAATTTTCTTTCTGAATTTTCATAGGTGCCTATGGCGATGTGCTTCGTGTGAAGATCATGTTTAAGAATAAGGAAAATGCTTTGGTTCAGATGGCAGATGCAACCCAGGCTCAAATAGGTACTGATTTTAAAGGCAGTTATGGTCCTAACTAACATGAATATGATAAAGCTCAGGAATCTGCCTTCTGTCAGTGGCTATATTAACCTCACTAAATCCATTATTGCCAACTCTTCTATACATGAACTCTTGCTTTCAAATGTTGATATTGATTAGCTTGCTTTCATGTAAGCAAATGATTTTCCTGTAGTGGCTTAAAAACAACCCTGCAAATCTTAATCTAATAAATGTTTCTATTAAAAAATTGTACAATTTTCCTGTGGTTTATCTATTAATGAATCATACACTTTTCATATCCTTATCTAGCTGTTTAAGAACAATGCCATTTTGTATTCCCACTGCATTTAAACTTGCACTTGTTAAATTGTAATGATACAAAGGGGAAGAAACTTAGCCCACTTTGTAGAGATGGACCTTGCTGTTTAAACTGAGGACGTGAAATCTGACACTAAATAGAAGGCAAGAGCAGTATCCAAAGAACCATTTTTAATTCCCCTCCGATCATCTGTTTTTGTGTCCCAATGATGTTTCCACTGATCAGCTATCAGCAACTTGAATGGACAGAAGCTTTATGGGAAGTTCATGCGTGCAACTCTTTCAAAACATCAGAATATTCAACTCCCTCGTGAAGGAGAAGATGACAACGGTCTGACGAAGGACTACAGCAATAGCCCGTTACATCGCTTTAAGAAGCCTGGCTCGAAGAACTTCCAGAACATCTTTCCTCCATCTGCCACTCTACATCTCTCCAACATTCCGTGAGTACTGACGTGTGTGGTCTTCATGCAAAGAGAATGTTTCTTAGGTTATGCTCTTAAAGCCACAAAGTCTGGTGTATTGATCTTCTGTGTCTTCCTAAAAATGGGTCATTTTGCTGCATAATTGATTGAAACTGTAAATAATGAAGAGGATAATGGATTGAAAGTTACTGTTCTTCTTGACAGGTTTTAATGTATATTTTCTTGGAAAAATGAATTTTTTCACATCTGAAGTTCTGTGTTATAAATTTTCCTGGAATATTAAGGGCATGCTTTTTGAGAGTTACACTGCATCAAATCTAAGATTAACACTGTTATGTAGTGTTGATACAGTTTTTAATCATCCTTACACTGTTTAAAGAATAGTCTTTACAGTCATTCAGAAAGCTTACAAAAAAGGAGTTATTAAGAAGCATGTTCTCTAAAACTGAAGCAACCTATTTTCCTTGCTAGAATGTTGTCAACAGCGTGTGAAGTGATAGCTCAACATAAATTTGCACAGGGTTCTTTTGTTCTCCAGATTAACTGGAGAACAAAAGACTCGTGTCCAAGAAAGAAAACTACAGAATTTTGTTCAAATCAGGAAAACAAAAAAGATATAGGACACCTCTGAGATGATACTTGGAAGTAGACTTTCAAAATAGAAAATATGTGAAGTGTGCTAGCAGTAATTAAAAGACAAAAATATTTCAGAAGCTACCAGTTAATCTTTATGCTTTCTGAATATATCTAAGGCAGGAATGGGAGAAGATGAAAAGTAATGGATTGAATCTGAAGTATTTTTTGTAGCACACTGCAGTGCTAAATCATAGAGTCAAAGCCAAGATGTTTGAGCTGGGCTTGTGTTAGTGGGGGTACTATTAGATGGTTGGATTTAATTTAGCAGTAAGAACTCGTGGTTTGCTACTGCTGCAAAGACTGCAGTCTGTGCTCTTTTACACGTTGAGAAGATTTTGATTTGTTTTGTTTGCTTTTAAACAGGACTTCTGTTTCTTTTGACGATATTAAGAGTCTTTTTGCACGTACTGGATCTACTGTGAAAGCCTTCAGATTTTTCCAGTAAGTTCTCATTTAAAAATGCTGTGAGATCTTTCATCCTAAAAGATGGCTAATTGCTTTTTGGAGAAATTCCATTTGTGTATAGCACTATCTATAGGCAAAAGCTTAACAGCTTGTGACAATGCTTATGCTAATTCTAATCTTAAAATTTTAAGTGATTAATTGAAAATATTATGCTAGCATAACTAAATGGAAAATATTTGACCTTTGATAAATTCCACATGTGTTCAAAGTCAGGTAAGTTTAAGGAGAGTGAACATAACTCTAACTTCTTGGAAAAGATATGTAAGATCTGTATGAGTAAAATGTCGAGTAAAAGATTACAATGAATCTGTTCTAGCATTCATTTAGATATCTTTCCTATTTTATTTTGACATGATCACACCTGCTAGAATCTCATATATAGGGAGAACATCAGTGTTTTTCAGAGGGTTTTTGGCATATTTGGATGGGCTTTTTTGGTTGATTTTAATTTTTTTTAAGTACAATGTTATGGAAGAATGGCATGGCTGTAGGTTATCAATCAGTAAAACTAATTCAGTTCTGTTATTTCCCTGTTGTGAGGTGCATAACTAAATCTATTTCTGTCACTGCACCTGCATTTTGTGTAGGAAGAGCTGTATATGATGTGGCTAAAGAAATATTTGCATCACTTTTTTTTGTGTGTTTATGACTTACTACAATGACAATTTCATTCTAATTAATAACGTTTTTTGTCGTCCTTCAGGAGAGATTGCAAAATGGCTCTTATCCAGCTGGGCTCTGTGGAGGAAGCAGTTCATGCTCTCATCGAACTTCACGATTATGACCTCGGAGAAAATCATCACCTCCGAGTTTCCTTCTCAAGATCTACAATTTGACTTTTCTGTGAACATTCCTTTTAAAACTGCACTGCAGTTTTCTTACTCTCATCAAATAGAGACTGAAGTAGCTGTGACCAATTCTGCTCTTAAAAGAAAAATCTTGTTCGTACACACAGCAAAGAATTAGGGGATAATCTTTTCTGATTTCAGCTGCCAGTATATGATCAAATCTTATTATTCATCAATAAAAAGATTAAATTTCTTTAGAAATAATATTTATCATCATGTTTCCTATTTTAACTTTACTTTTGAGAATATATGTTGAATTTTTGTTTCAGATTAGCCTTATGAAATATTTTAGAGTGCTTTTTCAATATACCAAACTGAGAATGTTTCTAACAAGACAAATCCACTCTACCCATATTGAATACTGATTTGAATGTGAAACAGAGCTTGGCTTTCTTGAAGAAAAAGCCGAGCGCTGGTTGCGAAGGCCCTCTGAACAGTATTTATGTTACTAGAGTGTGCGTTCACACTTTGGCAAATCTTTACAATAGCTTTTTTAAAGCATAAACTTTGTGCTGTTCGTATGGGTTAAATTATTAGAGGAAAGGCAGTGCCTTTTCTTAGCGGAGTAAAAGATGTTTGAGTTTCTCCAAGCTGTGACATTAGAGTTTTAGCTTGACTTCATCCTGGAATGGAAGTTTGATGTGTTATTTTACTATGAAGTGATATTGTGTAATAGTATTTTGAAGAAAATAAGAGGAGAAAATAGTCCTGATTTCAAAGAGTTTTTTACATTTCTTTAAAGAATAAAATGTTTACAATCTTATAGAAAATATTCAGGTCTGTGATGGCTTAACGAATTTTTAAGAAGTTATTTTTGGTAAGGTCATCTTTGGGGATGAAAAATTAAACCTCAAGAGTTTTTTGTATCAATATACTTACTGTGTATTTACTTAATTTCTTATTATGTGCCTTACTGTGTGCTTATGACACAACAGCTTTGAGTTTTATCTAAAGTATCTTGAAAAATGTAATGCAGGCTTTTAAAATTCTTTTTTTTTCTTTTTTTTTTCTTCTTGTAAATATTTTCCTAACTGCTACTTTTGTGTTTTCTCCCCTCCTCTCTCTCCCATCCCCAGTAATATTCAAACTTCTAGTCTCTGGTGCTTTAGTGTAGAGATAAAGTAGAGGTGGAAATTAAGTTTAAAACATTAAGTTTAAAGCAGAGTCCTGCAGACCTCTTTGAATTTATCTGGTTGCAGTTGTCTGATACCTTTATTTGTCAAAAAAAAAAAAAAAAAAAGTTATTCCCAGAAAAATGCACAACAAAGAGACAAAATAAAATGATGCATGAAAAAAAAAGCAAAAGAGCAAACTCCACTCCAATTTCTGCAGCTTAACTTCCTGAGGGATGGTGTTTCAAACAGTTCTTTTTCAGGTTCTTGAGTTTACCAGTAAGAGCATTATTTCATTTCCCAAGAAGTTCAGTACTGAACTTCCATTTCTCTTTGGAGAATGTGCTGTGATGTAGTCAGATTTTTGTGTAGAAAGTTATGAACATTACTAGTTCTGTCACTAGACAGTTCTTTTTTCTTTTTAAGGGCTATTTCTTTTCAGAATTTACCAAAAATACATCACTTTTTAAAATGCGACATATCACATTTGCTTGTTTATAATTACTGCAGAATTTTTTGGCACTCATTCGTTTTGCTTATTGTAGAATTCCTCCTATCTTTCTAGAGCAAAGGGTATAATTCTGGAAATATCTGAGTATTTTGGAGTGAGCTTCTACACAGTTACTCTGAATTACTTCTGTCAAATCACTGATGTACTAGCTTGTCTTGCTTTAATGTCTGTGACTTGACTTGCAGCAGCTAATCATACTAAAGAAGGTTCCAGGTCTCTAAAATACAACAAAAGCATGGTCTTTTGACAGTAAATAAAATGCTGACTATCTAGGTAGTAATGGTAGGTTCTATTCAACACAAGTAAATAATTTTCCAGAATGTAATATTTTATGGAAAGCAAAATGCTGCTTAGGAATAACAGACAATGTTGTCTTTGGGATTTGAGGTACTCTTCCCATTTCCCCCTCTTTGAGATGATTGATTCAAGTCAGTGAACTGTCAACCTTTTTTAAAACTAACCTTAAAAAAAAAATTGTAAAAAAAAAAAAAGAAAAAGAAAAAAAGGAAAAAAAAAAAGAGTGCAGAATCAGAGCTCCCAGAGCAATTTAATCCCTATTTAAAAAATATCATCTTTGTGTTTTTAGCAAAGTTCTGTGCTGTAAGAAGCCTTGTTGGAAAAGGTCCTGTCTGCAAATGAACAGGACACTCAATTTGTAATTCCTGTCTATGTTCAACCTTTTTAGCTGTCACACTGATAATAGTTTAAGACAGTTGCTAGGAATGTTCCTTGTTACTGCACAGTGGTTTGTTAATACTGGGACATTGTTCATAATGTATGATTTATCGCTTTTTTAATGAACTACAGCTAAAGGGCAGAGGAATCATAGTAGACCTGAATGTAATTCTAAAGCAGAGAAAAGGAACCTTAAATTTGAGAATGAATATTGACACTCAGTATCAGCATGTGTATGCCATATCACATTATTCGTGCATACAAACATACAAATTACGTGCCCTTTTAATTTGTTTAACCTAATGCTTAGTGCTAAATGCTTAAACAAATTTGAAGGGATGAGGATTACAGCATTCTCACAGAAAGAAATAATCTTTTTATTTTGTCTACATCTTAGAATAGAACTAATATCAGCTCAGAACTACTTGCAGTTTGAAATGAGGAGGCCTACAGTTTAGGCTGCCAGGGATTTACAGATTTCCAACATAAGAGAAATCTGGATAGTAGATTTTTGTGATCTTCTGTTAGGTTTTGTTTTGTTTTATTATATATTTGTCCTGTATCTTTTTGTCATTATCTCTTGTTATCATTGTTTCTTTAATTAAATAATTCTTGTCAGATTACTTGCAAATTTATGTATTTCTCAGACTGCCTCTTCTAGAGATCTGCTTCTACAAGTGCAGACAAGCCTCAAAAATAGCTGTACATCTTCATGTTTCCTTAACAGAATGATGGTACTAGATAAGGCTAGCTTATCTTACTCAGTATTCTGCCCTGAATAACCAAAAGCAAAAATGTTACTATAATGCACTGTTAGTGAAGGATAAGGACAAATGGAGTAATTCTTAAACCGTGCTTGACCCATCAATGCAAAAGCCCTGTTGCACTCAGTCTGTGAATCTCTAAAGAATATACGAGCTCAGAACCTCTGAGAAGAGCAGGCTTTATTTTACAGATTCTTACACTGATGTAGGTTGAAAATGAAGCTCTGAAGGCCTTAATCTTGCCTCTCCCTGGGATTAGGGCCGACCACTCTGTCAGAGATATTCCTACTGTCCCACCTAGCAATATGTTGCCTTTTTTATTACAGCACAACTCCCTGAAAGACTCTGGCTTCATCCTCTCAATACAACGGTATTAAGTTATTAAATACAGGTTCATAATTTCTTTCATATAAATTGTTAGTTTCTGTTCAAGTCGCTTGTGAAGCGCGTTGTAATGTGTAACGCAGGAGTTGTATTCTGAAACACTAGTGGCTAAACTCTGACCGCAGCTACCAGATGTGGATGAGGGTGGAGTTCTCCACCTTTGTGTATTTTAAGTCAAAAATCAGCCCTGGGTTACTTCAACTCCTACTTTTGTTCAATGGCAGCACATTGGTTCAAAATGTAGCAAGGCATTCTTAGCCCAGGAGAAACTTGGTGGCTTTTCAAATGGCCTGTAATACCTTGCCTAGAAGTAAAGCTTCAGCTTCCTTGAATTTCTTTAAATGCCTTGGAACATAAGCTGAAAGCTTGAGTTTTCACTTGACTTGGTTGCATTGTCTGCTGGTATTGTCAGTTCTATTTTTTGTGCTCTGAGATAGGTTTATGTCTTTTTTGTGCTTCAGTTAGTTATTCCACGGATCTGAAGAGACTTGCCTATATGACTCTTTCTGTTTGCAAGGTGGCAAACCTGTTTGTATACAGACTATTTATCCATGCTGAAAAAAAAGCAACAGATGCAACTTCTCCTCCTCAGATTCGTTAATTTTGAGTCATAAAGTGATTCAGGTATTTTTTTGTTTTTTTTTTTTTTTTCCTGTTAAGGATGCAGACCTATTCCTTGTCATTGTATCCAACTAACATGTACTGCTATTCTTCAAATGCTTTCAACTTTTGTCCTGGTATGTTCTTATCTAAAGCAGATCTATCACACTTAGAGCTTTTACTGTTGTACTGAAAAGATACTGTTCAGATTACACAGTGTTCTTTCATATTTAACAGTCTTATGATGACTTGTTTGTTCTGTACAAGACTGTTGGCCTGTTCTTTTAAAAGAAAATCCTGACGTTTGGGAGTTGTGAATTATTTCACGAAAGGAGGGGAATATTCTCAAGCGTTTAATATTGTGTGAGGTGTTTGGGATATAAAGCGGGACCAAAGTTTATGTGCCTTCAGTAGTCCTGTGTGTAGGGTTTTCTCGTATCTACTGCTGTTTCATGTACAGTAAATACTCTTTTTTTCCTTTCCCCTGGAAATTGTATATTTATATTGTTAAGTCAGAAAGTTGTCCTCTAACTTTACAGGCAGTCAGTTATAACTACAGTACAGATTTAATGATAAAATTGCCTTCACTGCAGGTTTGGGTTTGTATTTTGGAGGGGCATACGGCAGAATGGCAGAATCCAAGCATAATCCTCGTATTTGCAACCTGAATAGTGACAGTAGTTTGTGATCGGAGCAGAACCCAACAAGGGGTCTGGTGTAGCTGAAGGCTCTTGACATTTGCTGTGAAAGCTTTTACATTTGACTAATGTCATCTTACTGCTGTAAACAGTTCTTCAGTTCCTGGAAACTGCATTACTTCTGAAGAGTGGGAATCTGACCACTTAGTCCATTTTAAGCACTTTCCAATTTTCCTTAAGCATGTTAGCTGCTTTCTGCAAAATTTCGCCCTAGAACTGCAGCAGCAGACAAAAAGGGTTACTAAGCAAGCTGATTCTTGCATCAGAACATCACCTCATTTTCTGACCAAAGACTGACTGTACTGGTTTTAGTGATACATTATGTGAAAACTTTTCTCTCAAGTTCCTTTCGGAAGGGGAAAGCCAATGCAAAGTGGCCTTTACTTGCTGTTTGTTGATGAAACAGTCTACAAAGACAATGAGATTGTAATGTGGAACAGCAGGCAAGGGGTTAGTGGACTACCTGTATATTGTATCCAAGACATTCAAAAGCATGACTAGGAATTGGCGAAATTCCTTCATGTGCATTATCTGTTCACAAAAGTGAACAGATAATTTTCAGTTTATAAAAATGTTGATCTAACACAAGAAAAATATGTAAATATTTGTGACGTCTTTAAAAAAAAAACAAACTGGTAAAAATGGCTTTGGTGGGCAAATGAAAGTGTAAAACGGTTTTATATTAAAAAAAAAAAAATCAATTGTCTTGTATGTTTTAATAAACAACAGTACCAGCTTTCACTTGTAAAGCAGCTTCTGGCATTGGAGAAAAAAGTTTCCATGTTTGCTGGTATAATATGTACAAGAAAGATGTAATTTAAACCCTATTTTCTGATTGTGTAGTGCATGGTTAGTTTGAATTCGTTTTGCTGCAATATATTGTTTCACTGGAGTTCACGTATATGCTGATTAATTGATACCTATACCTATTTCCCTAACTCTAGTTGTTGTAGCATGCCTTTTAATAAATGTCATTACATCTACACTCTGAATTTTTCCTGTGTTCTTGTCTATTGGCTTGGGGTTTTTTCTCATGCAACTAATAATTTTCCTTTTTTATTTTTTTTTTTAATTTGGGGAGATTTACCACAGCTATTATTGTGGACAGCAATTTTAGCAACACTGGAAGACTTACCCTCTCCCCCTGGGAATCTCACGCAAAGCTAGAAGTGAAGTCCTGGGGGTGTGGTGGCCATGCACAGAGCCATGAGCTGCTTTTTTTTGTCTTTAGCAGCCATGGCTGTCTATGAAAAAGCATGTTATATCAAACGTATTTTGAGCACTAATGCACATCCTCAACAATAGCTGAGGTTAAACAACACCTGAGCAGGGTAGAAATCCTCATTTTCAGTAGGATGGAAATAACAACCCTGAGCTATTTCAGTGGTGGAAGACTACTTCATTCTATGAGGCAGAGATGAGGCTTTTCAAGCCTTGGGGATTCATTGATGAGAACTGCTTTGTTTTCACTTTAACATGGCTGTGCTCTTTTATAGCCATAGG